TCAGGTTTGGGAGTGGGTTGGGATTGGAAATTTAGAATTGGGGTGGAAATTTGGATTGGGTTGGAATGTGGGATGGAGATTGGAATTGGGGTTGGTTTGATCTGTATGTATAATATGGAACATTTGTGTGATAATAACAAATTGGTGGCGAGTAGATGAGTGCATCAGGTTGAGGTCGATACATTGAATGTGAAAAACTGCTTTGTGGAGTGTGCGAAGCTTTTTTCTTGTTTCTTTTAGAGGTTTTTTGTTACCTTGGAGAAGTCATTTTTGAATTTGAGAAATTGAAAGATGTTTGATGTTTTGAAAGTTGGTGTGAAATGAGTTGGAAGAAATAGAAGTATTCATAGAGGATGGTTGGGATGTGACATCCCTATTTTCCACGGTCAAAAAATAGAATTTTATTTATGCTTATTTTAAAATAGAGTTTATTTATAATTACGGAATTTGTTCCATAAAAAGTATTTCCGTAGAAATGCTTTCATTGATTATTAAAAAAAAAACTTAGGATGTCATAAATGATACAAGAAACATAAGCATGAATGTAATCATTACAGGCCTTACAACATCCTATAACACATGGCCTATATTTCCTCAATATCTAATTGGATCCAAACATCATTATCTTTGAATTGCTATCTGTGATACAAAGAAACCGAGTCGGTTAGGTTGGAAAACATGGTGAGTACATAGGGTTTTCAAACCACAATATTATAATTAATTTGTTATAGTTATATATTTCGCATCAAAAAAATAACCCGATTACCTATTCTCATTATTCTCACTCCCTAATCATAAAGCAGATGATCTAAAGGGATCTATCCTAAAGGATCTCTAACTAGACAATGCTGCTTCGGGGATTCCATAACAATATATACTAATAAGACAACCATGAGGTGAACAGAATACCTACATGAATAATTCACCCATACCTGCAGGTTCTAGTCCTGTCCGTATGTGGTTTATAACATTTACAGATTGAGGACTTGCCCATGTATAGTTTAGTAACACCTACAAGTTGTGAAATTGCCCATGTATGATCGATTAAGACCTACAGGTTGTAAACATGGTCGTGTATGGCTTATAAACATCTACAGACTACAAGCATGTCTATGTTTAACCTGACTTGTCTAGAATAGTCTATGGTCATCATCAATACCCTACTGGGTGGCTACGTTACTAGTCTGGTAGTACTATAAAGTCTCAGCCTCTCATCATTGTTTTCATCTCTCTTTACCCTCTACTACCCCATATATTATAAGTATGAAACTACATATATGGTTAAATAAAATTAGCTCATATATTTTTAACTAACACAGAAGATCTCAATCACAGATAATAGGCACACATAGAACTTAATTATCTAAATAATCCATATTTATGTGTAAGATGAAAATAACTATGCACCCACTTGTTAAAAGTGGATAACTGGTGAATTCGGCAACGCTCCGCCTAACACTTTGGTTGTTTCTTCGATGTGACCTAGGTACGAATTCCATTAAGTCTCAATCTTATAATCATTGTGACTAATGATAGTATAGATTCCTCAATAATCTCGGTGTCTACTGATCTATAGCTAATAAGGAGCAACCAGGTTAGATCATATCGGAGGTAGGGCCTGTTTAGCATAGAAAGTATATTGTTTGGGAATCCAACTTTAAACATCTCATTAAATCTAGACCAGACATCACCCCCGTAAGTAGATCAATCAATATTATGACATGGAATTACTAATAAATCTTATTTATAGATTCATAATAACAGTTATGAATATAAATATAAGTTACTTTCATCTCATCATTATTTTCATCTCTCTTTACCCTCTACTACCCCATATATTATAAGTATGAAACTACATATATGGTTAAATAAAATTAGCTCATATATTTTTAACTAACACAGAAGGTCTCAATCACAGATAATAGGCACACATAGAACTTAATTATCTAAATAATCTATATTTATGTGTAAGATGAAAATAACTATGCACCCACTTGTTAAAAGTGGATAACTGGTGAATTCGGCAACGCTCCGCCTAACACTTTGGTTGTTTCTTCGATGTGACCTAGGTACGAATTCCATTAAGTCTCAATCTTATAATCATTGTGACTAATGATAGTCTAGATTCCTCAATAATCTCGGTGTCTACTGATCTATAGCTGATAAGGAGTAACTAGGTTAGATCATATCGGAGGTAGGGCCTGTTTAGCATACAAAGTATATTGTTTGGGAATCCAACTTTAAACATCTCATTAAATCTAGACCAGACATCACCCCCTAGGCATGGCGTAAGTTGGAGCTACGCCTTGTATAGCTCATTTAAGTTGGTCGCGAATTTTGTCTTGTACGTTAGGCGTACGTGGAGGTATACAAAGCATACTCGTGTGGGGTTCAAACCCTAATTTTAGGGTTTGGACCCTCTTTAAAGGACTTCATGTCCTTAAATCCTTCCTTACTTCCAGCCTCCATCCCTCTTAACCCCCATCTCGAAACCCTAACTCTTTGGTTTGAGTTTTAAAGCCTTTTAGTGATATTTTAGTGTTCGTGGTGGTGAAGGGAGACCTTTGGAGTTGTGGTGTTGCACTTAAACTCTTGGGGTCCAACATCTAACCATCTTTGTGCATCTTCTGAAGGTATAAAGCTCAAATCTTGATTCTTGCCTTGCTAGATCTTGTTAGGTTGCAAGTTATGACCTTTTGTTCCAAAAAACTTGGTCTTATGAGTAAAGTCTACTCCATACCATTTGATTTGTCCTTTCAGGCATTTTAGAGTGTTTGGTGACATAAAAATGCAAGCTTGGTCCTTTATATTCTTTCATGCAAGAGTTATGGAGTTTTAGATGGTAATACAAGTTAGTATTTTGGTTTTGAGCTCCCTTTTTCCATGGAAAGGCATAAAGGTTGCAACTTTATGATTTTAGATGTTCATTAGGGTTAGATCTGAATTTTAGACGTTAAGTCTTAAAGCATTAAGTCCTTAATAGAGAAATTGGACTTTTGAATTGTATGTTGGGCGTAACCCTATGTACGCTAAACGTAGGAGGTTGTTTCTCCATAAAGCTTCCAAGAATGGGTTGTACGTTGTGTGTAATATGGAGCACGTAGGGTGTACTCCCAGAAAACTCACTTGGGCTATTTTTGGGCCTTGGATCGTTAGGGGTTTTAGGCCTTGCTTTTTGGGTAATGAGTAGGAAGGGCAAAATGGTCTTTTACCCTTGGTAAGATAAAATATGAATTGGATCATTAATTATAGGTTAAACCCTGATTACTAATTACAATTGTCTTTAGGTTTTGATTAATGTGAGGAGTCGCGTTAGCAACAACTCGAGTGTGTGATTCAGTTATCTTCAGTTAGAGTTGAGTATTCTTATTGTACTTGTGGGTCAAAAGCACTAATGCCGACCCAATAAATTATGTATGTATGATGGTAGCTGCTTTGTGACTCTTTGGGTTGAAATAAATCATAGGGTTGGGCCCATTACGAAATGTTTGGGTTAAAGCAAACCCTAGGGTTGGGCCTATGAGTATATGATGGGTTGAAAGAAACTCCAGGGTTGGGCCCCAGGGCTAGGCCTATGATTGAATATTAGGTTAGATATACCTCAGGGTTAGGCCCAGTTGTATGTTTGGTATGTGGTACATTGGAAAACTCACTAAGCCTTGTGCTTATAGTTTACGTTTATGGGTTGAGGTACTTTCGATGCGAAAGGGAAGGGCCCTGCATGATAACACAATAGCCTCCCATCATGATTTCCGCACTATTTGGATAATTTGTACTCGGGTGTTTTTGGATATTGTAATTTGTGATTGACATGGAATTATTTGAGGAATGAAACTATTTGTTAACTTTTAATGAAATTTTTTATCACTGTTTTTGGGGCTTTACACCCTAATTGCTTAGTTAAACCCTTACTCTAAACGATTCATCAAGCGATTTGATTCTTCTTGATAATCGTGGACTAGGATTTGTAAGAATCGGTTGGGATGGGTATGTAGGGATGTAATGTTTTATAGATACCTTAGTTATGAGATATATCTATATTGTTTGGTAATAGTTGGTTTTGAAGGTATATATATTATATATGATGCTTAAAATTATGTTTTATAGATACCTTATTTATAGATGCCTTAGTTATGAGATATATTCATATGGTGTACATGCGAACCCTATTATTCTCCGATGCATAAAATTATTATATATGATGCTTAAAAGCTTGTACCTCTTAAAATTCAGCAAAATCTTGTAAATGTTTTTTAAGGTATATATATATATATATATATATATATATATATATATATATATATATATAGTTTATAACCCGTTGGAACCACGGTTACAAAATTAAGTAAACTATTATAGTGAGAATTAAAAATTATCAATCAATTCTTTCAAATAAATTATTAATTAAGAGATATTTTTTTAGTTATATAAAATTATAATCATTAATTTAAATAAATATGTGAAATTATATCATTTTATAATTTGTATTAATTTTAATTTATTTTTTATTCTAATGTAATTAAATTAATGTAATTAGAGTGTGAAAATTAAAATTTAAAATTTAAAATCTCTATACTAATAAAAGAGTAGCTTTTTTTGCCATGTGTCACCATATTAGACATTTTAATTAATGTGTTGCCACTTGTCAATCTATTAGTTTTTCATTTTAAATTTATTAGACCTCCTTATTAATGTGATTCTATTTTAAATTTTAAATTTTAAATTATTGTTTTCATTAATTCACAAATAAAAATATTTAATATATATTAAAAATTAATTTTATATATTTATTTGAATCAATGATTATAATTTCACATAACTAATAAAAAAATATCTCTTAAATTAATAATTTATTTAAATTAACTTATTAATAGTTTTGAGTTTATACTATAAACATTTGATTAATTTTATAACGGTGGTTCCCACAGGTTATAAACTAGTTAAGAATTAATAGGTCGATAAGTGACATGTATTAATAATGAAGCCTAATATGGTGACACATGGTAAAGAAGAATAAAACTAGGAGGTTTAATATGATGCCACATGTCAAAAGGAGATTAAAACTATTCTTTTATTAGAATAAGTATATATATATATATATATATATATATATATATATATATATATATATATATATATATATATGTTCAGGTTCATTTGAGACCATTCTAATTTTGTGAGACCGTGAGACCAAATCTAAAAATAATTTTAAAATGCAAAATAAATGGAAAAATCCAAAAATTCTTTTTTTAAATATTATTTTCGGAACTTGAATTAAATAAAAAAAATAAAAAATAAAAAATAAATCCTTTTTTTTTTTTTTTTTGAAAAATACATGAAATATTCTAAATAGAATATTACACTGACATATTTTAAAAAATAATTTTAAAATGCAAAATAAATGGAAAAATCTAAATGTTTTTTAAATATTATTTTCGGAACTTGAATTAACTAAAAAAAATATAAAAAAATGTTATTTTTTTTTAAAAAATACGTGAAATATTCTAAATAGAATATTACACTGTACATATTCTAAAAATAATTTTAAAATGCAAAATAAATGGAAAAATCAAAAAATTCTTTTTTTAAATATTATTTTCGGAACTTGAATTAACTAAAAAAAATTAAAAAATAAAATAAAAAAGAAATAAAAAAATAAAAAAATGCATCTCACGGTCTCACAAAATTATGCCGTCTCACATGAACCTAACTATATATATATATATATATATATATATATATATATATATATATATATATATATATATATATATATATATATATATATATATATATATATATATATATATATATATATATATATATACTTGAATAAAATATGAAGTGGTTATCCCCGTAGAACACCTAAGACAACCATAAAGCAAAAATCCAAAATTACTCTAAATATGATATCTTGATTGTAAACCTACACATTTTTGTAATTTACTCAAACTTTTATAATCGATGAGAACTTGAAGCGTAGTTAATTCCAATAAAATATAATGGTTCATCTCATGTAGACTTTGCGGTATGTATTTTACTATTTCTTCCACTTGTTTAAATGTGTTTTTTAAACGACGTAACAATTATACTTTAGAACCATAGTCAATGTTATTTTCCACTTATTTGCTAGACATGGCGTTTTGATATTTTATTGACCACATGTAAGAGATTTATGTTATTTATGACACATATTTACATCTAATGTATCAGATTATTTGTTGTTAGTACTTAGTAGTAGCGTATCTCACCAACTAGTCAAGCCCAAACTCGTTACACTATAAAAGCTGGATTCGGATTTGATATCAAAATACAATCCCAGACTCATAATGAGTGAACGAACATATAAGTATATAACCTTAAGCTTGGCCCACATGATAGTTTATTAGCCCACCAAAATTAGGCCTAACGGTATACTCTTTTCCAGATTTTCGCTTTCAAGCCATCCCTCTCAAAGAAACCCATCGGTCGCCATCTTTCGCCTGATTCTCCATCACCTACCGCCAACTACAACAACCACCACCACCTTCTCCACCGTCATCATCAGTCGCTGCTCTCCGTAAACCCTATACGTCATCACCACCACACCCTACAATTTCTTTTTTCTGTCTTATCTTTTATTCCCTACTTTCTTTGACGATATATCCAATGTTGAAAATTCAGAATACCCCTAAGCTGAAACATCCCTGATTACTAAACGATCCCCTCAAAACTCAAAACCCATGTAATATTAAAGATATAGAGAACAATTACAAAAAGTGGACGGTGGTTGGCTCCGGCAACGACTCAAGGTTTCCACATTCACTGGTTGATCGTAAGTGTTGTCAAAACCCTGTTATTCACCTCTTTTGAATGGATCTAAAATGACTCACGAATGCCTCGGAAGAAGAATTGATTCCATAATTTTTTTTTTCCTTCTAATTGGTGCGGTTTTGTGTATGAACCTAAGCTACTATTTAACTGATTTCTTGCTTAACCAAGGGAAAATTTTCATAAACAAGGGCAGTTAGTTAATATCTGTCGATTTGGGTTCTGTTAGTATGATTTTTTCGTTCACCTTTTTTTATTGTAAAAACGTATCTCAGGTTTGGGTAGTTGTTCATTGCTTCTGTATATTGGGTAAATTTCTAATTGTAAATTATGTTCTTTTACTTATGCAACGATAAATTTGATAATCATATTGCACCACTTATAGGAGTTATTTGAATCTGTATGATGGTTGACCTTTAAATATGATTTTGACCTTGAATCTGCAAGAACATGAAGTTTTTTGTAAATTAAGCTTACAACAATTAGGAATAAGGTTTTAGTATTCGATTAGTTATTGATATTTGTTTTTTGGTATAAAAGGCAATGGAAGATCAATGTTCTTTGGATAGCCCTAGAAGGACTCTAAGTTATTCTAGAAACAGGGGAACAACTTTCTCTGTTTTTGAAGCAGACAACAAAAGGGCTTCAGGTGTTGGTGTTTCAGGAGACCATGATTCTGAAGTTTATGGGTTTGTAGGAGCCATTTCAACTGTTGTTGCCACAAGTATTCTTCCTTCTTTACATTTTTAAGTAAATGTTTTTTTTTTTTTTTTTAATCAAATAATCGTCTTATAGTGATGACAAACTAAGAGATTCTTGAAAGCTCCTCCCTTTTCTTATATCATGTTACTTTGTTGTACAAACAGTTATTTTCATGGTGTGGGCATATGTTGCTGATCCTTGGTTACATTCCATTGGTATCTTTTACTATCCTAGCAAGTAAGTAGTTATGCACAATTTTTTCTAACTCTTAGCATAATGTGCGTTTTTTTTTTTTTTTTTTTTTTTTTTCATTAAGTGTTGTCTGGTTAAAGTGTATGTTACATTTTATTTTTTACGTAAGACTTATTATGAAATTTTATATAACAAACCTTTTTTTTTAAAAAAAAACTTTGAGGTACTGGGCATTGGCACTTGCTGCTTATGCCATGGTGATCATTGCAACAATCTTCACATTCTACATTGGCCTCAACTTTATGGCAACTCCATCTCCATCATCATTCAAGTCAATATTTGGTGAGTTAATCTCACATAAGGCTTCTTATTTATGCAACAAAGTGGTCTCTAGATGAAAAATATTTAACCATGTTAATGTGTTTCAGTGGTTGCATATTTTGTGTCAGTTTCATAAGTTGGTAAAAGAAAGTATATTTTTGACAGATGAAAACAGCAGAGAACCTGTGTGTTGTGATTCTGTGGTGGAGGAAGATGATCGACCCATTGAGCCTTACTCTGATATGGGAATTGATCAGATTAATGAACTCATGTGTTTTGGGAGATTAGGTGGTGAAAGTTAATATACTTGACATTATCACAATCAGAATCAATGACATTATCCTCATCAGATTGTTGATGCAAACTGGTTAAAGTTCATATGAATGTTAGAATCATGATTAATGATTCCAAAAAAGGGAATAAGTTAACGAAGGAATTACCATTCCCCAATGATAACGAGTCATGATGATGATCACACCCCGCTCCCGAGTTGTAGCAAAGAAAAGAAGAGAAGAGAAAAGAAAGTAAGGAGAGAAAAGAAGTGAAAAGAAAGGAAAAAGAATTTGTCATTTGTGCTCCCGAGTTGGGGAGAAATGGAAGGAAAGTTAAACATTTTGTTCTTTCTTTTCAAATCCTCCCAAATCGGGAGGAAAGTTAGGAGGGAAAGTTTTCCTTCCATTTCCTTCCACTTCCTTCCTTTAATGAAACTCGGGAGCACCATTCTCTCTTACTTTCCCCTCATTTCCTCCCATTTCCTTTCTTTTCTCTCTTTAAGTTGAACTCGGGAGCGGGGTGTCAAACTACCACAACATTAATTTGCAAGAGACCGACAAAAACCCAGGTCTACTCCTATTATTGCTACTCCCACTTAGAATGAAAATGAATGCAATATAGATAAACACCTGAAAGGACAAAAATACCCATCAGGTGTTAAGACATTAATTCCTTAACTCTTTCTCCTTTGATTCAGTTCAACTGGGCAGAGGCACACTCCGGTTTTCCTCTCTCAGGGGGAATGGTGCTGAGTTCTATCCGCATCCAAAGCAGTGAAGCCTCTTAAAGGGTAAACATGTCGATTTGCCTGATAGTCAAAGAAGTAATGAAAATAAGTTGTCTGAAAATACGCTAATTGATCTTTCTTTAATCCACAATTGAAGCTCACGTATTATTCATTTCGTATTCTCAGTCTTACAATCATTGTATTATTATTGTTATTGTTATGTTAATCGTCTGAGAAATTCTGTTTATATATCATCTTGTTCTGGAAATGATTTGATTCTTCTATTGATCCATATGGAGTGTTATATAGAAGACAGCGGCCATGCTGATTTAGTTTCAAATCGGTATCAACAATGCTATTTAGATTTCGATTCAATGCAAATATGGAATAGATTATACTTTATGAGAGTTCTTTCGATGACCAACAACATGGAATTAATCAAAATAAAGGTTTAATTTCGTACCCTTATTCGTAAACGTTAATTCGGATAATGTTGACAGTTCAGGTAATTAGGATTTTTATTAGTTAGTTAATATCAAAATGTTTTGTGTTAAGTAATCTATTATTTGTTGATACGTTCAATCACAATGTAAATTCATTGTTTTTTTCCTACAGATGTTAATCAATTTAATGACAATCAGGAACATTCTAATCATCATCATGTGATTATTAATGGAAAACAGTACTTGATTCCATAGCTACCTGATGAAGTACTTGATACCAAAGGTACCTGATGAAGTTAGGCCAAAACTCAAAGGCCATTACTAGTCGTATGAAGATATCACATATATGTATTACAAGAACGCTCTTGCAGCATGTTTTGATGTTAGGAAAATGATGAATAAAAAAAATATGTATGGTATTATTAGATTGAGATACCTTGTGTGTAAAAGACAAGGTCTTCCTAATATGGGTCATGTTGATATATTGAACCCAAAGAAAAGTAAGATTCAAAGAAGGATTGGATGCAAGCATGTATCAGATTTAGTATGGTAAAAGGAAAGCTCTACATGGTTGATATATGAGTTTGTAGAGGAACATAATCATAAACTTATATCTCAAGATAACATGTTTTCCCAATACCATAGACAACTTACTTCATGGCAGAAATTGTTCATTATTAGTGTTTCTAATCAGAATGTTGGTGCCACCCAAGCTCACAGGATCTTTACTGCTATTAATGGTGGATACAATATTATTGGAGGCATGGTTGATGATTTTAAAAATTTTGATAAGGGATTTTAGTTACTTCATAGGTGGGACTGATGCTCAAATGTTAGTTGAAAAGATCACTAACTGAACAAAAAATGTTCCTAATTTTTCATTTGAATTTAAAGTTGCAAATAAGCAGCTCAACCCTATATTTTAGGCTGATGAGACTTTAAAGATAAATTATAAAGAGCTTGGTGATGTTGTCTCCTTCGATGCAACATTTCGAACTAACAGGTTATGTATAATTTATGTTTATGTTGTTGCAACTCTAAAGTCGAATGAAAAATTAGGAACATTTTTTTCCACTCTTTAGGTATGAAATGGTATTTGTTCCTTTCACTGGAATCGACTGTCACAAAAAGTGTTACTTTTGGTGCCGGCTTGCTACGTAAAGAGGCTATTGACTCATACACATAGTTGTTGTATTCTTTTCTTAAAACTTTTGGTAAGAAACCAATATTGGTGTTATCTCATGAAGATCCGGCGATGAAAAAACGCTATAGCCAAGGTTTTCCCGGATTCAATTCATAGGTTGTGTATGTGGCAGATCACTTCCAAGTTATTATAGAAGGTTACAAGCTTTTATTTAATAAGCTTTCAATCAACATTACATTAATTACGATTTATTGTTATTTATATTTTATATTCTGAAAAGAATCATTCATAGTATTTTTGTATATCTAACTTATAGTTGTACATTGGCTACTGGCCTATAACATTATTATATATTCAACAATATTAGTGTTGTTTGCCTATATATATTCTGGACTGAATCAATGTTTGTTATTTTTAACACTTTGCACATGTTTTCGTTGTAAGGTATCATTGGATATTGTTAACGCCGAGGAATTCAAGTTACGATTTAACCCCTTGATTTGGAATTCTAAGCTCGAAGAGAGATATTTCGAACACGGATTGCAAGCACTATTGGATGAACATGATCTTAACGACAATACTTGGTTGAGTAGAATGTACAACTTGAGACATTCATGGATTCTTGCTTTTTTTCAAAAGAGTCCCTATGTCAGGTCTCATGAAAACAAAATCTTGTTTTGAGAGTTAGAACTAAGCCTTCATCAAAACATTCATTATGGATCCACTTTAGTAAACTTAATGATTTCGTTTGAATTTGCCTTGGAGAAGCAACATTATAATAAATCCTCTTTGGACTTCAAAACAAAAGAAAATTTCCCTAAAATGAGAACACTATTTCCAATAGAAGAAAACATTTCTCTATTCAACACACGTAAAGTGTTTAGACAGGTTCAAAACGAAATGTACAGGTCAATGACAACATGTTTCTCGTTAAATACCAACATCGTTGACCATGTCCATGATTTTCTGATAAAAGAATTTAGGTTGCATAGATCTTCCACTTTGAATTAACTTGATCCTTGAATTGAAAGTGATGATGATGATAAATGGGATAAGCTGCTAATAGACTATATATGTACGATATCAATTTAAACTTTGATATTAGTTTTTTATTGCACACCAAAATTTTCATATATATGTAATTATTTTGGTATGTAGATTAAATGTGACTAGAAAGAAGACACACTCATTTGTAGCTATATGAAGTTTGAACAATTTAGGATTCTTTATTGCCACATTTTTACAGCAGTGAAAGCCTACACCATCTGATTCATACCAGCAAAGTATCTTCTAAGGCGATGACAGAAGGATAATATTCCACTTGAATTGTTACGAAGATGTTTCCGGTATTCAGATTCTGTTGAGAATATTCAAAAAGTAGCAATTGACATTTTTTCAACGGTTGATAACTGTCATTCTTCTTTGAACACCAACTAAAAAAAACTTGAAGAATATTATGATGCACTTAAGGAATTGGAGACCAAAGTTTATGGCTGGCGTTACTATACATGAACGCCCAAACAAGACAATGGACTTTGGAGATAGACTTGGTGTGTCGATACCCGCATGTGTTCAAATTCAAAACCCCACAGGAATTAGGAACAATATTTCTGGAACAAAAAAAAGGATTAAAGGTGGTCAAAAAAGTACAGTTCAAAAATCACGCTGTAACTACTATCGTAAGGATAACGATAATGACTGGCGAAATTGTCCTTCAAGAAAGGAAGATGAGAAGAAAAACATTTTTAAAGAACATCCTGGAAAGAAGCACTAGTTTTTTTGTTTGTCTTTTATTATTTCATATTAATTTGTTTGGTTTGTTTACTTTATGGTAAAATAGTTGTTACATTCTCATTCAATTGTTACTTTTTAGTATTATGTTAATTTAATTGGTGTAGCCATTTTACAATTTAATTCCAAAATTTGTTTATATAATAATAATCGTGACAAATATAACTACCAGTTAGTATAAATAAATAATACACATGTAAATATGTTATACATTATTTAGTAAATGTCATTCAAATATTTTTTAAAGCTTATGCACATATTCCTCAGTTTTTTTAAACAACCCAACCCTTACAACATTCTTATACGTATACAAAAATCAATACAATACACTTATCAATATTTGATTACTAAAGTCATATATAAAACTACATTTACTACATATATTTAAGAATTAGTATATATAACTTCAAAAAGATGTGTCTTATTCATTACATACTTGTTACATACACAAAATATTACATACTTCTAAATACAATTATGATATTTATTCAATTTAGGATTTATACAAACAAACTTTATTACATGGTTCTAACCAGAAATATGTTAATTCCTAAATTCATATTCGCTACAATCAATATATAACTTTCATCTCCATTATACATATTTCTAAATTGAGTATACAGACTTACTCTATTTTCATATAGAAAAGAATCAGCATATACACTTAAAAAAATTGTGTTATTTACTATATAATTGTTGATAATACCACTTTACACATCGTTCAACTTAGAATTATGTTAACTATTCAATTTAGAATTTACACATAAAGTCGTGTTATAATACTATAAACATAAATTTTTTAGTTATTCTTTTTACAATTCCAAATCTAAGTTAAGTCTTACAAACTATGGTAATTTAGTACGAATTTGATGTTTCAAAAAAAAATTAATTACTCACAATATGTATTTCGTTTTAACATCCATATATTCAACCAAAATGTTAGTCTAATAGTTATTTAAGAAACATTTACATGCTGCTTTATAGTATTTACAAATGCACTGCAAAACCATAGATTTAGAATGATATGAGTCATATATCATATATTAATTGAGCTTTGCTCAGTGTCATATACCATATATTACATATGGAATATAAGCAATAATTTTAGGTTCACACTATTTATAATAACCATACTTTCACACATTAAATAAACCCACTACATAGTTTTACTTAGAATACATCCAACACATAACGATCCAAACAAAATTACCATATTCCAAAAAACCAACAATACAAAACACTTCAAAGTTCATAAACAGTCATCAACTTTTATAATACTAAAAAACCTAATTAAAAACCACCATCTTCTTCACAAATCATTCTACTGCACCACGCTTATGATTTCTTTCTTCTTACCTTCTACCAACTTCACCCTTTCAAACCTATCCATTTTTTGATAGCTGCATAATGCTTCACAAATTTTTGCTTCATAACATTAAAATCTACATCAACTTATCTAGATACTTATACCTTAACCGTCCCAAAATCTTTTCTTGCATTTTAGAAGCAACACATAGACCACAATCCCATTTATGTGCCACTTCTCCCATGTATGTTTCCATGCGTCACATAAAAAAAATCCCACAATCACCACCAACTATTTTCCTTTGACACTTCATTTTCATAACCACGAGTTCTTTTTTAAGTAACACATTTGCTTTTTTGTGTTAAACACTATTCAGATAATGAAAAAAGAAACTTTGTTGCATGTCAAATTACATAATAATTCATATTATAATAAATATATAACAACAATTATGATAATCTATATATGAATTGATTAAGAAAGCAAAATATCTAACCAGGATACGTGGTCTATTCTCATATGCAGACTCAATTGTCCCCGACCTCTTAATGTGATCAAATATATAAAATGCAACCATTTTCAAGCAAAAATAGACTAGGTAGTAACTGTCTTCAACAACAATTGGAATGAAAACCTACAGTTAAACAAAATCAATATCAGTTCAACATAGATGTGTGATACAAATCATGTATAATTACCGTAACATGTAACAATTCAATACCAAGTCCACTGTTTTCAAATATGGTTTGTCCATTATGTCATTAATCACAACTACAAACATAATTCTGAATTGATTGTACCTTAGCTCCTCATCTATACTTTCATTAACCATGTACTATTCTGTTTTATGATAAAAAATACCAACCATATTAAAATTCATAGCAGAATATGACATAGAACATAAATAGTCATATTAAAAACTTATAATCATATTACATGTGAAGTACATCCTAGGGTAAGATGCCTCTAGCTTATGTTCCTCATTTTTATTAAGGAAAGCAACCCATGCATATATTACATTGTCATGCACTTTGTTCTCATAGCTAATGTACGTGCAGATTCCAAATGCATTCCATGACCTTCAATAGTTTCCCATATTATTTCCCTGCATGTGTAACATAAAACGGTAAAACTTTCATGAGAAAAACAAATTTCCTATTTCCATTGACTCATATAAAATGTACATTCTTACCCTTTATCTTTTCCCCATATTATTATGCTTTGAGCCACAACGTTTTCATCATCTTTAATTACCTCATCCATGTCCGTAATCCGATCTACATATGGTGAACACCTCAACTGTCCAAGTTTCCCCTTCCTTTTACCTTTTCCACTTTTGAAGTCAACAACATGCACCTTTTAAAATTCCATAATATCTTTTCCATTTCTTTTCTTTAGCTTATCTTCCACTACGGATTTCTTTGTATATCTAATTATTGCCTTAGTTCCTTCCATATCATCCATATTTTTATCTTCCTCATTCAATTGTGTTATTCTCAAATCGAATATCTTTGCAAAAATCCTTTCTTTATGACACTCCTTTCCATAATTTCATCAGACATATTCAAAACATCAGGAGTCAAAACAACTAGATTATCCAACGATGTATTTCCTTTATAATCAAGAAAGAGTAGAAAAGGTGAGTCACACAGATCCACAACCTTTGTCTTCTCGTTATTCCTTCCAGTAGATTGAACATTGCATATCATATTACTTCCTTTCACAAAATCACTTTGATTAAAATTGACAACTTTAACCGGCATTTTCATTGTTGCTTCATTTGTGGGCGAGCTATTATCTCCCGGTTCCACAGACGTCACATAAAAAAGTTGACTTACTTTCCGTGATCACTCTTTTACCTCCGCATCATTTGCATCATTTTCTAACCCCTTCTTAATTGCTTCTACAATTTTTGTTCTTATCATCACAAATCCTACAATATAGCATTTCAATTGTTTCCACCTCTACCAGTCATTGTTATTAAGAAGGGTTACACATTTATCTTATGATTTCTATTGTGAATTTTACACAACTTACATAACATACATAATAAAATAACTTATCGGCTTATCCTCATCATCGTTTACATCAATAAGATCCACTTCCCCATCTCCACGAAATTCCAAGTTCCAAATCTTCCCATTTGCAATCCATGCTGCTCCAACATTTCCAAATCCATCGAGTCAATCTGTTTGATCAATAGCCTTGATCTACGAAGATTATAGCCATTGAAAACTACTTTGTCCACATACGTAAGCTGTAACAACATAATTGATGAGTTCTTATTACTTATTTTCATAATAGAATTAAAAATAGTACAAACCTAAATGCAAATAATTACAATTACTTACTAGTAAGAGAGTAATTGGACATGTATAATAATAGTTTGCATCATTTGGCCTCCATTTGTATTTTGCCTTCTCTAAACATTCCAATATATACTTGTACCAGTTTTTTTTGAATATCTTCACACCTTGCTAACTTCTCCAGAAAAATAATCCAGCTTGCCCCACTCATCTCTATCTCCACAAACGTGTTTATGAATAATGTCAGGAAATTAAGCTTGAACATGTCATCCGCCACCTCCGATTGTCTAATTCTCTTCACATAATTTCCATTATTGAACTTTCCTTCTGGATATTTACTTCTCCTTGCTTCAATAACTTGATCTGTTTTATCACATTCCACCAACTAGGTGTAGTCTAAACCTTCACTTGGTAAGCTAAACCTTTCTTCAACCATTTTCTTTGTAATAATTATTTCCCCTTTCTTAGTCTTAATCGTTGATGTTCTTCCTCTGAATTTGTCCACCAAGTAGTATGCCAATCTAGAAGGTATTAAATCTAACTTTATCTCAAGGAATGCACTGAAACCCATTCTTCTCACCATTTCTTTCTAAGTGTATGACAATCCCTTCACCGCCATATACATTGATTTTGGGGACATACAACAACTTATTTTTTGTAGCTCTTTTGTTGTGTCGTCCGCAACGACTACATCTTCATTTTTATTCTACATTATCTCTTTTTGCTTTTCTTTTCTTCATTCCTTTCTTATTCTCAACTTCCTTTAATAATTCATTCTTATGACTTTTTTTTTTCTAGCACTTCTTCTTACATTCACATCATGATTAACTTCATTATATTGATAATGTTCATCTTTCCTTTTGTTTCTCTTACTGACATTAACACTTGATTCACCTACAACAAACACAAAATAACATATGAATGATTGGGATAATACTACACTAATAAGAATCATGTATATATGTTTTCTGTTTTGAAGATTCCCAAATATAATACGTGTGTATGTGGAAAATCTAAACTGATAATAAATGATCATACAATAGCAACAAAAACCTATAAGAATTTTCTTTACACTAATGTATTATGTGTTGAAGCATTACATACATAAGGTATTCTTTATTGAATACTAAATCAAACCTTAAAATAATATTTTGAAATAATACACAATACCACAAAACTTACTAGTGAGAATAAATTTTACAAATAACATAAATAAAACTTCTACATAGTAATGTAATAGTTTTAGATAAATGTAATAAACAAATAATGTTAGTCATATCAAAATTTAGTAAAGAATATTTAAGTATTGAAACATATTCTGTATAGAATTCTTACAAAATGTATTCAATATTGAATACATGTGGAGGCATTGCATACATAAGGTATTCTTTATTGAATACTAAATCAAACCTTATAATTAGATTTTGAAATAATACATATTAACACAAAACATACTAGTGAGGATAAAATCTCCACAGAGCACAATACCACATCTACATAGTATTTTACTAATTTTAGATAAATGTAATAAAATGCTAAAGATTTTTTTTTTACAATACTGTATCTTGAATTGAATAATTGCATACATAAGGTATTTTGTATTGAGTACTAAATCAAACCGTTAACTAATATGTTGAAATAATAAACATTAGAGCATCCATAATGGGAAGTTTAACGGAAGAGTTGAATGAGGTGTCATGCCTACTTGTCATTCAATAGATACAACTCCACCATTGTGAAATGCCACCTTGGCATTCAATGGAATTGGAGTTCAATGGTCATTGAACTCTTTAATGGGACACAGGAAAGTCTTTAAATCTTTAAATAAATATTTTTTTAATATGTTCCATTAAACTTGTAGAGTTTAATGCATTGTGGGATAAAAATGAATAGAGTTGTATGGAATAGTAAATGATGATGTGGCACTCCATTGAACTGTATAAAGTTCAATGCATTGTGGATGCCCTTACCACAAACCATACTAGTGAGAATAAAATCTCCACAGTCCAGAAATAAAGCTTTTGCATGTTAATTTAATAACTTTAGATAATGTAATAATTTTCTCTAATAAATGAAGGTTTTTTTTGCCACTTGTCACACTCTCATTCATTTTGCCACATGTCATTTTGTGGTTATTTTGAATTAATTTTTATTCCATATGTAATTTTGTGGTTTTCCTATTTTATTAAATTCCATATGGTATTTAAATTTAATAATAAATGCATATCAATTTCATTAATGGACTTTCCTTATAATTTCGAAATTTTAAAATAAAATCTCATTAATTTGCTTTGATTATTTTATCTTAATGATTTGTTTAAATTTAAAAAAGAAAAAAAAAACACTTTAATTTTAGTAATTCAATATTTTTCTTATTTTCTTATAAATTTAAATTTCTCAAATGTTTATACATATTTAATTGTTTTAAATACACCCATGTAATACATGAAGCTCACACATAGTCAAATAATGTTAGATAGTGTTTGTTTTTTATCTACAGATTTGCGTGGTCTCTTCTTTCTGTGCCGCGCAGACCACGCGCAGACATTAGCCTTCACAGACTGTTTGTTTTTTTGAAGGCTGCAGAACTAAAAATGTCTGCGCGCCCTCTTCTTGGCGCAAATGTGGACCAAAGTCTTCTTACATCTTCAGACATCTTCTAGCCTAAAAAAACATATATATCTTTATTTTTTTAGTTTTTTTTTAATTTATATTTTTTCAACTTTATTAATGATAAATCATTTGAAAAGAAAATACAAAACTTAAAAAAAATGTTTTACGATACAAACATGATATTTTTGACAAATTTATAAATAAAAATTTATTACAATAATAGTCGTTGAAGTTGTTTATATAAATATGAAAAAAAATCATAATATATTCTTATATTTTTTTGCCAAATTTTGTAAAATATTATTTAATACAGTATCGTCAATTTCTCGAGAAAATATTTATAGTACGTTTTTAATAGATTTAATTGAAAAAATCAAAGTTTATTTCCATCCATTTATGTATCAAATTCTTTGATCACTAATTATAATGTTTAGTTATAACTTTGCAACCAAAGTTGTTGGTTTTTATCAAATATATATGTTAATTCATACCATTTTTATTTTTATTTTTAATACTATATTACATAAAAGTTGATCTAAATTCGTTAATTATTTATAACAAGGTTATAACAATATTAAAAAATCACTTTGCAGTTTAAAAAAATCAGTTTATTTAGATTTCAGTTTATTTTAGTAGCCCGCGGAGGTTAAAAAAACAAACAATCTTCTTTTTTCAGACTGCAGACGTTTGATCCACCTCTTCTACTGCAGAGGTCAACAAATGTGGTCCGCAGACCGCAGACATTTTGCCTCAAAAAAACAAACAACACCTTAGTCATGTCAGCATTCAATGCAGAACATTTAAGTAATAACATATATTTTGTATTGAATTATTACATAATGTATTCAATAGCGAATACATGTGGCTAATCATAGAATATTCAACATATAAAAAAACAAACAACATCACTTAATCAAACAAAATAAAAACTAACACATTAACACTTACAATAGGAGTACCTTTTTCAATATGGCATTTCACCTTTTTTTTGCTAATGGTTCCATAGTAAGGATCACCACACTAGAACCTCTGCAAAAAATTACAAACAAAATTGTTTAAAAACAGACTAACTATTATTACTTATATCAAACCCTTAAATAGCTAGACATTCTTCTATTTAGATTCCCTGATACAACCACACCTACATTCTTAACTGTATTATGTAATACTAGTATTAAAAAAACCTAACTTGAAACACAAAAAGCTAACAGTCATCGTATTCAACAAAACCTTAAAAAAACAAACAAACAAAATTTCGAAGATGTGCATCATCGTTTTCAACAAAGAAACTAACTTAAAATTGAAACACCTACATTCTTAACTCTTTTATGAATATAATATGAGTATTAAAAAAAAACAGTCGTCGTCTTAAAAAAAGAAACTAACTTAAAGTTGTATATGAAAATCAATGAGCAATACATGAATGAATGTTCACGAAATCATCATCATCAAGGTTAATGGCTTCTTCAAATGTGTTGCTGAACTTGTTGCCCTTCATTTTTGAGTTTGATCGAAGAATCCTCATAATGTGCTATGTTTAATAATCGATGATTTTTATACTCGATTACCGAATCAACTTTAATCGAATTCCATTCAAAGTTGAAATCGGATAATATCTTCAACCAAAAGTGGAAGATGTGGATCGATTTTGAAGATGGATTCACCTGTGTATGTTACGAACTGAATCCCCTTTTCCTAAATTACTTACCCTAGTTTTTTACCCATATGCCCTCCCAAACACGTGATTAGTTAAATTATGTGTTTTTTCAAAAAAAAAAAAAAAAAAAAAAAAAATTCCTTTTTACTTAAATAGAAAGTAGTTAATTATCATAACCATCTATTTAAATAAT